TAGTGAAAGCAAGTCAAAGAAGGCCTGTGCTCGAGGTGGGAAGTGAAGAGGTTTGTGGTGATCTTAACATATGAAGGTGTTAAATCCATCCTGGTGGAAACCCTTGTGCCTTTCACAGATGAGCATGGCCCACACCTTGTGAAACTCTGTTGTGCTCAAGGACTCCAGCTGGTGTTCATGGTCTTTACAAGATCTCAGCTCTCAAGTGAAAGGACAGAGACACCCTCATGGCACAGGGAGCAACACGTCTGCAGCTCATGGCCTCTCTACCATGTGGGACCCCCAGCAAGCGTCATCACCTCCCAGTGACATACTGACCATGTGCCACGTGACCTTACATCTTCTACCAGGTTAGTTTTGTCCCGCTTCATGATCAGACACAGCAAACAGGAAAAAAAAGGAAGATAAATTGGAGGGGGCTGTTCACCTAATTTCCACTATACTTGAACTCATGGCGAGCTACCATAGCTCTGGGCACCGATCAGACCAGAACTGTGGCTTTGTTGCAGTCCCAGACTGTAACATTTAGATCTCAAATTAGAACTGTGTTTAAATTAACTAAAATCAGAAGTCAAATGCAGCAGATGTTAACTGCGCCACGACCAAACTGTCCCAAAGAACGATGTCATTACAGACACTCAAATATTATTTGCAGCATTGTCATAGATTTTTAACAGCTCTTCCTCTTTTCTCTCCTGTTTTCCAAACTTCTCTGCCTTTTCCGGGATCCCTGGTCATTTTAGTCAAATGAAGGGGATAAAAATTCTGAATGGCTGCTCACAAATGGTATTGAATTATTATCTTGCCTTGGATCAATGGCTACCAAAAAGTTATTTCCTATTTCTCAATCACGCCACCTTTCAGACAGTGCAAGCATTTACCCCTGTGGAAATACAGCCATATAAATATTCGACAACTGTAAATATTTAAAAAGAACTAGGATATTCCACAGTAGTGAGGAGAACATACCTGAAGGTTCCTGAGAGCAGTAAGCACCTAATGAATTTAGCTGGTGATTCTGACATTCTGCTGTAAAGTCATCCCATTGTGAGCTGAAGATTAGATAGCCCAGTCTGGGTTGTGTTTATTTAGTTATGTTGAAAAAGATATCTCAGTTGATTAAAATATTTTTTATAGATTAAAGACATTTTTGTCATTTTTAATGACTTACTACTAGTACTTTATAAAAAGTATTTGAGATTGTGTTGACATATGCTTTAAAACAAGAAAAGTTTAAGTGGTATTTAATGGATAACTTATTACAAAGAAGGAATTCTCTAGACCTGCTTTACCTTTAATTCACATTGTTTGGATGGAGCACTTTTTTCACACGATAAAGCACAACGTGTACAGCTAGGAAGAGGTGATTCGTGTGTCCAGAGAGCAAATCAAAGTCCCCTGCAAACAGGGGAGGGCTCCAGTGGTGTTGCATATTCAAGGGAGATCAGAAATGCCAAACTGTACAATGAACATCACATTCCACAGAAATCACCCCGGGTCCCTGAGGAGTCAGATGGAGCCACCTGGACATCAGCAATATCACTGTTGTCTTCATGTCCTCACTGTTGTCCTCATCAATCAGGGGCCAAAAGAGGAATCATGGCTTAAGTGAACAAGGTCATTTTCCTGGATCTACATGTGTGTAGTCTAAATACCCAGGACAGACAGAGAGGAGTTCTCAGTGAGTTCCTCCTGCCAGAGCTGTTTCTCTGTGCCAGAAAGCCCAACCACAAAAATGACCTTGTGCATAAAGTCCATAATCGACATCTTCCTCAATATTAGTTAGATTGCCTTTCACTCATGGTGTGGCCCCATCGTTCTTCTATACCTGGCTACATGATGGCCCCAAAATATTCTACATGGTGCAGCTGGAGTTTTATTTTGGAAGTGGTAGTTGTGAGCATTAACTACTTAGTCACTAGTATGTATCCACAGACTATCTCCCAAGCTCCTGGGCAAGGACATTAATTTTGGTATGGAAATTCACAAGGAGTGGTTGTATTTGGACTTCTTAAAAAAATGTAAAGGGCTACAGCTGTTGGTGATTCTGTATTTTTCATTTATTTTTCATTTCTTTTTATAGGAGTATGATGTCTATTGATGGTTGGACTGTCATCATGATGTGCTGCTTCCTAATATGAGGACATTCAGCAGTCTATTCTGTGACTCCACGGACATCTATGACACCTCTATACTGGCACACTCCATAATACTCATCTCTGGAGCTGTTGATTCCTCTCTTGCAAACCAGAAAAGCCAAACATGATTAAGAGCAACAAAAAAGTGGGCAGATGTGTCAACTACATTTCTTTGGTCTGGGCAAAATTGAATTTGCACACATTAGGCATTCTTTAAACATTGTGCTGGGTCTACAGAGCTTAGAAAATTAACTAGCTGCTTAAATTTCTAAACTGAGTGACTTCCACACAAAACTGCAACCTCACTACAGGAACGCAGACACTCTCCAGTTTGCATGTAGATACCAAGTAAAGGTAGGGTTCTTGTAAGAAGGGGGAGCAGGTGTGAATGAACTAAGACAGCTAGACTCAGGCTCAATTCAATTTTATATACCACAATGAACTGTCAGGATCTCACATTGAATGTTTTGGACAAGATAACTCTGAAAAACTCCAGTGGAGTGGGACTGAATTCCAGCTTTAAACACCAAGATGCTTAAATGCCCAATTCAAAACATTTTTCTAACATTTCACTTCTAGATCTGTCTCCAAAATAAAAAGATGCCCTTTGCCATACTTAGTTAAGATGAAATCTAGTTGGGAGGAATCTCAGTTGGTCTGTCATTTGGGATTTGAGTCTCACAACTGAGCACATCATACTGCAATGCAGTAACTTTAAGCCCAAGCTTTGTCACAGGAACAATGCCCAATTAAAAGCAAACAAAGAAGGAAACCAATAAACTCCTAATCTTTTAGTACACATTGAACACCTTCAATTCCAAGAGGAGCAGAGACAGTGAAAGAGCTACCTTTTGCTTTCATGCATATTTTCATTCATGTTTAGGGGTTACTTCAAAGTCATGGAGGTAATAGAAATATGCCTGAAAATTAGTTTTCACTGGCACTGACTACCTTGATCCTAGTATCAGCCTTAATTAAAACAGCATTAGAAGTTTGGAGTCTTTGTCAGCTTTTTCTCTTTACATTTGTTCTCTCTTTTTATCAGGTGGTTGCTCCATGAAGCTGATGGTCTGCAAGCTTGATTTTGCCTATTGGTTCATGTTAAATAACAGATACTGAAGCAACATGCAGAGAGCAATGGCTTCAACCACAGCTGGCCAAAATCACGTTCAAAATGGTAAATCTAGGATTGATAGGTTCTGGTATATTCTGTTGCCAAGCTCCTAAATCCTAAATTATCTAAAAAATCTTAAACCATTCCTGAACCTCACCCTGTCCTTATCTCAGCCCTAGCCACAGAATATGCCAGAGGTCCAAGCAAGCTGCAGTGATCCCTGCTGTGACCTTGGGATGGTGGCAAAATGCATAATCTGTGTGATATGATGATCCATAACTCAGTGCACGTGCAGCTGTGTGAAGCCAAAGCTTTAGGTATTTCTGGGATTTCTCCATGTCTTCTCTCCACTAATCATTTCCCCTCTCTGTTTCCATATTTATGGCAACACTGCCCAGGTAGCCCAGCCAGAGAGGTCAGGAAGGTTTTTGGTCTCTGACACCCTCCTGTGTGGATTGTCACCATGAGGTGTCTGACGTGCCCTTTGACAAATCTTTTCAACAGCTCACACAGACTACATTGGTCCTGTCATCCAACGAAGCCTGTTTTCCTTTAAAAACCAGCACCAGGTCCCATCAATTTGCATTATTTCACTACTCACCACAAAGAAGGCTTTCGGCAAGGCGCTTCAACAATCACTAGATAATGGTTGAGAAGCATAAATAACCATTTAAAAACTTCTGGGGCTTTAATCAGCATGCTGTTAGGCAGGATTTTAAGGTTGCCTGGTAGGAGAGCGTGCATAATGGGGCCTCTTTGGAGGCATTTCTCACAACAGATTACTCAGCATATAGCAAGGGATATAGTCAGTATTAAGGTGTCTGAGCCAAAAGAACTGGGCAGGAACGGGCAGGCTCTACCAATTCATGCAGATAAACTCGGTAAGCATGGCTTTGTTTGTGGGCAACCTTACAGGCATTGCTCTTGTGTCACGACAGCTTTGTTTGCACGGGAGCACCAGCCCAGAGAGCCAGTCTGTGGAGAATTAACCAGCATAGAGATGAGCCCAGTGGAGCCCTGGAGGGCTGCAGGATTTAGCAGAAGGTAAGAATTGTGCTCCCACATATAAGTCAGACAGACTATGCTGTGTTGCAAACAGTGTGGCTTACCTCTGTAAAGGCACTTAAAATTGCTCTCCTTCCCATCCAATGGATAAAGAAAGTGATGCAGAGATGGTTGAACTGCAGCTAGGGCCCAGCACTGCTTTAGCAAAACAGGATTTAGATTCAACTCCTCAAAACAGCTGGAAAACTCTAGCAAAGCCTCACGTATTTATTTAATCTGTCTTTTCAATCCATGGGTTAAATAATCTTAAAATAAGAGATTTTATTAGAATTAATTAAACTGCATTAAAAACCCCACATAAACATCACCTTATAGGGAGCACAGAGCACTTTGTCAGAATGAGACAACATGCTAAAGGATGGAGATCTGGATTTACCTCTCCAAAGGGCTAACTTAAATAATAGCAGTCTTCATGTCCTTTTTTGACAAAGGAATACAACCTGAGAAGGTCTTTTTGGTACCAGAATAACATTTATAAATATCTATCTCTCTATATATGTACACATATACATATATATCTATGTATATATATCACTGTGCAGTTACTTTTTAAAAGAGGTTTCAGAGTCTGAGTCATGGACAAGCTGTTGACAATTTTACCTTGAGAAATTTATTTTTTCTTTGCTTACAGCCCATCAGTCTCTTTCTTCACACATCCACAGGAAGGTCTGAGACTGCCTGTTGGCTTCTCTTGGAAGAATGTCCTGAATTGGAGCCTGCTGTCAACACAGATTTCAGGACAAAGAAGGGAGGTCTTTAAAAATGTAAACTGGAGCACAGTGCCCAACTCTGATGAATTGTTAGTGGGAACAAGGTACATTACTGCCCTTTGTGCTTTTCTAAATCATCCTGAGAGTTATTTATCAGATTAAGGTTTTAACATAAATGGTTTGACTCTTGACACAGTCTGTCCGTTCAAATCACCAGGAAGGAGGAAGAACTTGAGTTTTGCACTTGGATTATCCTCAAGAAATGTTCATGGTTTAAAAAAATACTTATGGAGTCTGTGTTTAAATCTACATCCAACACTATGCAAATATTTGCATACTGTAACTTAACTCGACATAAATCAGGGTTCTTGTCAATGAATTGTTTGATTAATCAGTGGCTTAATTTGTGCATCAGAGCAAGAGGGAGAAAAACAACCCAAAACAGCTGTGTGATTGATTTTTGTTTTCCTCCAGACCAACCCAAAGTATTGTATAAATAGGTAACTTCTATTGTGGTTAACTTCCTCAAAAGATAAAGAGGGAGGCCAAAAGCTTGCTTTTATATAGTCCTTCCTTGAACACTGATAGATCCGGGGCTGTGAAAATCCCAGTACAAGCCTGGAAAGGCCCAGGGATGTTGAGTCTTGGGCCATTGATTTACACAAGTTAGATCAGGTTGGGTGATCAGGTTGTTGAAAACGCAAGACTTTTCAACAGTTTTGAAATGGTCTCCAACTTTTGAGCTCTCTGGCAGGCTAAGCTTTGTTGTACAAGTAGGGTGGGTATTCACGGCTAGGCTTCACAAACGAAGATTTGGGAAGGGCTCTACCCACTTTTCTTGCAACCGTGTTGGTGGCTAAAAAGGCCAATATGAGATAGGCATGTCTGGTTGCAAAAGGCACAGCAGAAAGACTCCTTAGATGGTACATTCTGCAAGGCACGATTCTTTCTGCGTTGTCTTTTCTCATCAAGAGTGATCCTGCGAGCTTTCTCAAAAGCATCAGCAGCGTTATAGATGGTCTGTCTCCAGGCCTCCCGATTGGAGGCCAGAGTAGATCAGTTATGTTGGTCAATATGGCCAAGGCTGAGATGTTGAGGGCGGGTATTCAGAACATAAAAAAAATCAGCAGAACAACTATGTTTGTTCGAATTAAAGGAGGATGATGAGAATTATGTCCTTGTGGCCAGTAGCAGATGCTCTAATTGCAAGACAAGCATACAATTCATCAAGTAGTCGATGTTAATCAGTAAATGGACACAATCTCAATTGAGGATGCTGATGCTTACTGACTTCCAGCATATACAGTGGCTGGCTCACCTAGGATTGGCTGTGTCCCTGCCCTGTCCCATCCAGCAAATGCCAGTCCCTACTTACTAAGCATACTATTTAAGGGCATTTTGAGTTGGCCTACGACACCTCTACTTGCAAAGCAGGTTGGATTTGGACAAGGAGATGGTCTCGCTCCTTGTCAAGGAAGACAGAAAATGTGGGTGCTCTGTTAGGCTGATAGAGCTGAGGCAAGCAGGATGATCTGTTCCACACTTGGGCTGACTTTACCCTCTGCGTCACACCTGGATGCTTATCTACTCTCCCTGTTTGCCATTATATGCACTCAATGTGGCAGATAAAACAACAGAGTTATAGTTATTAAAGCTGTGTGTAACCTCCTGTGCCATGGAGTCAGCTCTCTGTGCAGTTGCAGGTCAGTGCAAGAGCAAACTTGCTGTACTGCTACACGTGATTCCCCAGTCATGTCGGGAATCAAACAGCAGGACATGTGTCACAGTCTAGGTCCCAGGAATTTGGGTGTAAACAATCTCCTTTTCCTGTTAGACTGAGTGACGTGAAAAGCCTTGGAAATTTGTCAGGTGATAAAATTGAGAAATAGAGTCTGGGCTTCTAGAGGCACATGGAGTGGGGAACAAATGGGTTTGTGTGAAATCGCTGAAGGAGGCTCAGCAGGTCCTCTGTCTGTGTCCTGGACTCCCACAGGACAAGGAGAGATGTAACATCTCTTAGCTGTGAGGTGGGTACAGAAGCGCAGTGAAAGTCACCTCCTGCTCAGGAAAGCACTCAGAAGCGCTTGCCATGTTTTACTGGGGGGTCCAGAAATTGGGGCTAAGGAGGAGACCCTTTGGGATACTCCAAGAAGTCAGAGCCTGGAACTGAGACTCTGGTCATCACTTTGATCGCACTCTGCACTCAAGCAGTGAGAGAAGTCAAGCCCCTTCAGAAAGAAATGGCACTTAACCATATTTAGTAATTCAAAAATAACATCAGCATCTCAGAGGCTGAATTCCTTTATTTTATATCTTTCCTCTCTGTTGCCTCTTTTCTTTGCTTTCCTCTGCTTTGCCAACAGTGTTTTCCACTGAAAGACTTGCAGTGATTGGACAGTTTCACATTCACACTGGCAAACAAACTCCAGAGACCTGTGGTGCAAAGGAGACATATATAAACTGCTGTGTAGCTAGTTGACAGCCAGGGTTTTCAGTTGCTTAAAAAGCCCTTCAAAACTAAAGCGTTGACTGTCCTCTGTCAGTCATTATTCAGTTCTAAAATAGTGGTTACACAGTAGGAGTTCTGGTAGAAACATCACTACATCAAAATTGTGGCAGATCAGAAGAAAAAAGATGGAAAAAGACAAATTTCCTGGCAAATGTAAAAGAAGGTGCAAATTCTTGTTCCTGGAGATTCGCTGTGATGGATATTAAAGACAGCACCATCATGGAGATCTGACATAATGCATTTGGAATAATGCAAGTTTTAATGTTTCATAAGCACTTCTATGGCAGGTCAGTCAGAGATGAGGCAAGAGAGTCATATCCGTATGGGCATTCCTGGAATTCTTATGGAATTGTTTAGGATGGTGTTTTAAGGGAACGTGAGTATCCAAATCTCTAAGGTAGTGCTGAAAATTTCAGCCCTATATAATGCTGGACATACTACAAACAGAAAAGCAGCAACTGTATTTGCCTGCAGCAGAATCAGAGACTCTTTGAGGAGCAGAAACCTTCATTCTCACCTTACAGTTTTCCATGCCCTGATGAGTTTGTCAAAGCTGTGTGTTGAAATTAAAAGATTTGGATTAAATGTGGGAGAGAATGTTTCAATGAATTGTGTGTCTCATTTGGCAACACGGGTCACAAAATTTGAGATATAACTCAATAAATACTAATGACAACAGCAAGAAATCAGAACAGATATCCCTTTGCATATTGCTGAAAAACATGGATCAATGTGCAGGTAGCAAGGTTTGTACTAAAGCTCAAAGAGGCACTACTTTCCAGGTGTTGCCCTTGATGACAATGATGGGGTCCCAAAGGAAGAAGCAATGTTCCTAGACATACTGGAGGACTGCTTCCTTACAAGGTTTGTTTAGCAATCAACAAGAACAGACACTGTTTTCACTGTGTCCTAGGAAGTGAGCCAGGTATAATAAATAAGTAAGGAGTTGGTAAACATCCAGGGTCTCCTGTTCACAGTATCATCAGAAAACCTCCTGAGGATATGTGCAGAAGTCAGCAGCACAGAAATATTGGCAATGTGGGAACAAAGAATGAAGCAAAGAAAGTTGACTGATATTGCCAGAAGAAACAACTTGTAAAAGTGGAAGACATAAAAGAGAAAGTTAGAAGTGATTTCATTTCAACAAATAAAAGCAATGTTACTTCTTACATGCAACATAAGGAGCAAATTCTAAACAAATTTGTGAAGAAAAATATCAGTTTTTGCATGCAAGTTTTGGCTTGTTTACAAGCTTTAGGTAAATATGGCTATGCATCCAGAAATCAAACACAGGCTTGAGGCAAATGTACACTTTTTTTTTTTAAAGTTTCTCGTATAATGACTAATGACAAGGTCAGCAGTTCAATTTTCAGCAATCTGTATGTATCATAAAAGAACAGTGTAACCCTTTAACCCTATGTGAGAAAATAATTGCATTTTCTCACTAAAGCAACTGCTGGTATCCTTCTTGTCTTGATATACCTGACATCTTTTTCCAAGTCCTTTGAAACTGTTGAGTTCTTGCTATGTCATGTCTATGGGATGATTCTGCAGTATGGAGGAAAGGAATCTCCTTTTCCATATTCAGGCTTGTTCTATCCCATTTGATGCTCCTTTCCTCCTAGCTGGAATGGAGTAGGTAGCTGTATTCATTTCATCTCTTCCAGTCTACTAGTGAACAGCCCTATCATGTTATTCTTTACCTGCTTTCCCTCTAAATTAATTTCTCATCATACTCATGTCAAACAGAAGCGTTCCTTGCTCCTACTCATCTTGTTTGTCTTTCTTTGAACTGCCTTGTTTCTGCTGTGAATCAGTTGTGAGACAAAGAGATTTATCTCATCTAACTTTCAATATGCAAAAATTAGACGTGATCTAGTCTGATTTAACCCTGGCAAATTCTCTAGTCTATGAAGGAAAACAAGCACCTCAAGAGGGCAACTTTTTTCTGTTTCACAAAGTTTAGACATCTTTCTTTGGTTCTGACACGTTGAACACCTAGCACTGCTGTAGATGTCTAAAGGCAAATGTTCGTTCTTTAAATGTCTGAAGACAAAGATGAATGTAAGGCTTCTTCCTGATGAAGAAGCAACCCTGGGCTATTTATATGGCCAAAGGAGATCTAGTTACCTGTGCTGGTGGAGGTTTTAGTGCAACTGCTCCTAGAGCAAAACAGACCAGATGAACCATGTCCAGATTTCTAGCATGGAGACACCTAGATCACACACAATAGAAGAAGCAACCTACTGACCCTGGTGAGGAGCTCTGATACAACAGTAACACATTAATATAAGAAATTATTGCAGGAGAGAGAGCACATACCTGGCAGACCAGAGCTATCAGATTTCCACTGGTGCTTGACAGAAAATATGGAGGATTCGTTGTAAATTTTCAACCATTTCTGTTTTCTTGTGTTACTGTTTTGAGCTGCTCTTTATCCTTTCTTTCATTTTGTTTGCTGTGTCTTTGACCCCACTCTCTACTGATATTTTATGCTGAA